GAGGGCAGGAAGAAGTACCTGTAGAAACAAACACATTACTGCTTAATACTAGGACATCTTGGGCATAACAGAACTCAGGCAAGTTTATGTAATATCATGAATGACAGTAACTATGACAATCCATATAGTTATCACAGCAAAAGGTCAGTGCCTCAACGGCTTCCCATGGGCTAAATCATTCTTCAAATACTAACCTTTATGATATCTAATCCAGCACATGACAAATATTTCTTTCAGACAGCTAAAATTACTTCCTCAGTTAACTAAGCACAGAGCACCTTTTCATCTTTAAAAAAATAAAAATAAAAAAAAAAAAACAGGTAAAGATGGAACATTTTTATTTTATTTTCAGAATGATCTTGGTCCAGATCATTCTGCCATAATTTTACATTGCTCTGCACTTAGGCATCTGTCTCTTCACACACAGGTAACTGCCTGTGTTCCAAATGCTCAGATATCTTCCCAAGATTAAAAAAGAAAAAAAAATATATATATATACTAAGAACAGTTGTTTGGTGACTATAGTTATTAACAATGTATTTTAGGGGACGGCCCCATGGCTCACTTGGTTAATCCTCTGCTCAGAATCTGTGACATAATGTTCTTGAGTGGGAAATACAGGTATTCTGCGTGCTACTCCAAGGCTGAGAAATGTTGAAGGAGCAGTTCAAGTTCACCTGGTCTCCCATGTGGGTGCAGGGCCCAAGCACTTGGGCCATCCTCCACTGCACTCCCGGGCCATAGCAGAGAGCTGGACTGGAAGAGGAGCAACCGGGACAGAATCCGGTGCCCCAACCAGAACTAGAACCCAGGGTGCTGGCGCCGCAGGCGGAAGATTAGCCAAGTGAGCCGCAGCACCAATTTAATTATTTTTAAGAACAAAATAGAGCAAAAAATTATTATAACAGTCATTTCCATCCCAACAAAACACAAACACCAGACTAGTTGATTAAATTAAAATCGCTGGGGCTGGCACTGTGGCGAAGTGGGTTAGTGCCCTGGCCTGAAGCACCAGCATCCCATATGGGCACCGGTTCAAGACCAGCTGCTCCAACTTCTGATCCAGATCTCTGCTATGGCCGGGGAAAGCAGTAGAAGATGGCCCAAGTCCTTGGGCCCCTTCACCCGCGTGGGTGACCAGGAAGAAGCTCCTGGCTCCTGGCTTCAGATCAGCGCAGCTCCAGCCATTGCTGCCAATTGGGGAGTGAATCATTGGATGGAAGACCTCTCTCTGCCTCTCCTCTCTCTGTGTAACTCTTGACTTTCAAATAATTTTTTTTTTTAAATCACTTTCTTACAGGGGGAAGGTGCTAGTGTTCTTATGTTCTTAAAGCTGTGCATACAAAATACATGAAATATTATCTTTACATAAATAAATCTGAAAAAAGTTGCTTCCTTGTTTATATGGTTTGTGTGTCCACTGAATTCGGATGTTATTCTGTAAATAAGGATTTCATTTGCTGTCTTCTTAGTCTTTTGTAACTAATTAGAAATAGCATTATAATGAAATAAAAATAACTTCATTGGGGAGCGGGTCAGCAGATGGGAGCTCTCTTTTCCCTCTGCCTACAAATAAATAAATAAGATAAAGGACAGCTAGTTTTTATTCACTTCCAATACCTAAAACATACAAATATACATAGTATTACCCAAATATCTAATAAACGAATTTAGTTTCTTAGAAACTGATTTAGTTAAGATAATCAACAATGATCGCACTCACTGCCTTCAACTTTGATGCAATGCTATTACATATGTCTAGTCTTTAGTTTTTCACTGTTGGTTTTTTGTTTTTTTTTTTTTTTTTTTTTTTTTTGACAGGCAGAGTGGACAGTGAGAGAGACAGAGAGAAAGGTCTTCCTTTGCCGTTGGTTCACCCTCCAATGGCCGCCGCGGCCAGCGCGCTGCGACCGGCGCACCGCGCTGATCCAATGGCAGGAGCCAGGTGCTTTTCCTGGTCTCCTATGGGGTGCAGGGCCCAAGCACCTGGGCCATCCTCCACTGCACTCCCGGGCCACAGCAGAGAGCTGGCCTGGAAGAGGGGCAACCGGGACAGAATCCGGCGCCCCGACCGGGACTAGAACCCGGTGTGCCGGCGCCTCAAGGTGGAGGATTAGCCTAGTGAGCCGTGGCGCCGGCATCATTGTTGGTTTTCTCATTTATGAATACTATAGGACTACTTCACCCGCTCTTGGAAAATAGACCACCACGCGCCAAGGGTAAACATCAACTGGGGACTTTCATTCACAGACAGCAGGTCTATTATAACTCCTACATGTACACAGAGTAGAGAGAAGTAAAAATTCTGCTCAGAATCTGTGACATAATGTTCTTGAGTGGGAAATACAGGTATTCTGCGTGCTACTCCAAGGCTGAGAAATGTTGAAGGAGCAGTTCAAGTTCACCTGGATACAATTAAGAAAAAAAGTTGTCAATTTTCATATTTAAATCCCTGTATACTCCAAAAATGACAGAGGTTAACCACATTTAATGCCAGTTTCCAAAATGTAACAGTCTTCTATGAAAAATAATGACTAAATAACAAACCATCCAGAGCAGACTCAGAGGCTGAGCCTCACCTGCATGTGAGGGGGATATGAGCTCCCAGGAGCCTGAGCAGAAGGTGGAGGAGGTGAAGCAGCGGGGGCCGGTGCGGGGGCCGGTGCCGGGGCTGGTGCCGCTGCAGCGGAATCCAGCGTGTAATTCTTAAAGGCCTCAATATCCTCAGGCCTAAGGAAGAGACAAAAGGCATAAATGTAAGAGGGTCATCACAGATTCAGCTCCCACAGAAGAAGTTTTCCAAAGTCTTTGACTCATTATCTCTTAATTCTAAAATTAAAATACACCCTAAGTATAGAAGTTTCATGAATTATGGGAGTATTACTCACTTTCCAACTGTGATACAGATGATTGCTCCCACTGGAACATCCCTGGTACCTTCAGAAACAAGTATCTTTGCCATGTAACATTCCTCCAGGCTCTCAAACCCAACAGTGGCTTTATCAGTTTCAACCTGTTAACACAAAAAGCAGTATTGGGGGCTGGTGCTGTGACGCAGAGGATTAAGGCCTTGGTCTGCAGCACCGGCATCGTAAATGGGCACCAGTTTGAGTCTCAGCTGCTCCACTTCTGATCCAGCTCTCTGCTATGGCCTGGGAAAGCAGTGGAAGATGGCCCAACTCCTTGGGCCCCTGCACCCATATGGGAGACCTGAAGCTCCTGGCTCCTGTTTTCGGATCGGTCCAGCTCCGGCCATTGCAGTCTTCTGGGGAATGAACCAGAGGATGGAAAACCTCTCTCTCTCTGCCACTGCCTCTCTATAACTCTGCCTTCTAAATAAATGAATAAATCTTTTAAAAAAAATCAGTTTGACTGGAGGCTGTCATTGTGGCATAGCAGGTTAATCCTCCACCTGCGACAATGGCATCCTGTATGAGCACCGGTTTAAGACCTGGCTGCTCCACTTTCAATCTAGCTCCCTGCTAATGTGCCTGGGAAATCTGCAGAAATGGTCCAAATGCTTGAGCCCCTGCACCAATGTGGGAGACCTGGAAGCTCCAGGCTCCTAGCTTCTGCCCAGTCCAGCCCCAGCCATTGCAGTCATTTGGGGAATAAACCAAAATATGGAAGGTATCTCCCCCCACCCCATAACTCTACTGTATAAATAAAAATAATTAATTTAAATTAACAGAAATCAGTTTGACAGGCTGCTGACAACTTATCTAAGCAATATTCTCTAGTATCAAAGTTTTTTTTAGATTTATTTGTTTATTTGAAAGCATTAGAGAGAAGGAGAGGCAGAGAGAGGGGTCTTCCACCCACTGGTGGACTCCCCACAACTGCCAGTGCTGAGTTAGGCAGAAGCCAGGAGCCAGGAGCTTCATGCTGGTCCCACAAGTGGATGGCAGGGGCCCAAGCACTTGGGCCATCTTCCACTGCTTTTCCAGACCATTAGCAGGGAGCTGGATTAGAAGTGGAGCAGCAGGGACCCGAACCAGCGCTCTTGTGGGATGCTGGCATTGCAGGTGGCAGCTTGCCCCACTATGCTGTAACACTGGCCCTCTGATACCAAGTTTTGAAAACCATCTCAGTTTCTAAACCAAGGGGCTAACTACTCATGCAGAAAGACAACGTCCAGTCAGTCTCCTCTAACTCATCTCCGGATTTTCAAACCACTTACCTCTGCAATTAGGTCACCCTCATTGATTTTTTCCCCTTCTTTTTTTTCCCACCGGGCTATGGTGCCTGCCTGCATTGTGGGGGAAAGGGAAGGCAATGGAACCTGGAAGAGAAAAAGGAGAAAACACCGAATTTATAAGTAGTTACTCAACTGTCGATATGGTTTAAAGTTGCGTTCCACTCAACTTCATGCAAAGGACTTCCTGAGTCCCGTTACACACCCGGCACGGGGGACACAAAGGAAGCTCCGGCCCTCCGGGAGCACAGGGGTCCCAGTGACAGGCTTCCTCCTCCAAGCCCTGTGGGTCTCACCAAGCACGAATCGACAGAGGGTTCTGCAAGCAGCCCCTGGCTTGGAGCGCTCCTTTCAATGGAACACACCCCTGGAACCGCGGGAGCTTGGACAAGCAGCGATGACAGCTACTGGGAGAAGCTGCGAGATCCCTGAGGCCTCCGAAGGATTCCGAGACCAAACGGCCTGCCTGAAGGACAGCCGTGTCCCGAGAAGGGCGAGTGGCGGTCTCACCTTCTGATGCGGAGGGAGACTATAACAGCGCCGGCCGGCCGAGCCCAAAAGCTGCAGCAGTAAGCGGTTCCGCGGCGTGGCGCCAGAGCTGGGGCTCCACCCGCACAGTCCCCGGACCCCGCCATACACCGCGGTTGCTCTGCTGCAACGAGCCGGAGCCGGACCAGACTGCGGGGCCACGCACGGAGCTCCGGGTCCCTCCCGCAAGGCCGTCCACCGAGCCCCGAGTCCTGCCCTCGGGGCGGCATTCTGGGCCCGTCGCGCACAGACGCGCCACATAATGCCACCGACTCCCGCAGCCCACAACCAGCAGCGTCTCCGGAGTGACCTCCGCAAGAGCAGCACGGCTCTGCCGTCAGCCACCCCGCGCTGCCGCAAGCTGTCGTAAAACGGGCTCCGGAGATTCACTCCACCCCCTTCCCCAGGCCGAGAAGGTGAGGCGTTGGACCCCTTCCTTCCTTCTTTTCCAAGAGCTGGCCGGGGACGCGACGGGTGCTTCCTCGTGGCCGCGGGGCAGGGTTGTTCCAGTCCAGTCCAGGCGGACGCGAGTCGGGGAGAAATGAGGGGGAGGGAGTGGAAAGTGTTCCTGAGGGTAGTACGGAGCCTAAAGAGACGCCGGGACCACGGCCGAAAGGCAGTGCCGTGGAAAGGCGGAGAAAGGCGAATGGGGGCAGAGTGGTCTGAGAGGGCTGGGTTGCCTGGGCTGGCCACGTTTTGAGGAAAAGCTGGGAAGCAGGAAGCAGAGGATTTCGCCGAGGTGCCCTTCGCTTCTGCGAAGCCGAGTGACCTAGGGACTTGGGGCCCCGCTCAATGAGAGCTACATGGGTTAAAAAAAAAATTAGTTTCTGGTTTGTAGCCCCACCGGGAGCTGGAGTGATCAGGCTTTCCAGCCCCAGGGTGCCAAGGACCGCCAAGTAGAAGATCCATCTCTACATTCTGTTGTGTGAAGATTCCAGTTCACAAAACGGATTTGTGCTAATCCCGAATTTGAATAGCTACAGGTTCTGCTTGAAGAGTGTACCAAAACTGAACCGTAAGGCAGTGAGGTGAGAAAGAACGTCTGTGTCGTTTGGATGTCTCCCCAGACTTTGGCGTAGTATACCGGGTACGCAGTGGGGGCCGAATGCGTAGCTTTGGAATTAATGAGTGAAACGCCGTCTAAACACTTCTATTGTAGGGTTATCATTTCATAATTAGAAAACACTTCATCATTGCTAAGCTGAAGCGGATATAAGATTAGGAGAAAGCCGGTACCGTATTTGTATCACCGAGTCCTCAGTATGCACACAGCCCAAGAACACAATAAGAAATTAGAGGAAAAATAATTGACAGATTTAACCTTGCTAGCAATTAACTCGGAAAAATAAAATAGGAGATACGATTTCATACCTACTTAAGTCAGAAATGTTTAAGGAGGCACAGCTGCCTAACATAAGTGAGAAATAAAATTTCAAGATTAAGAAAAATGTATTTGAGATATAAAGAGTAGGGCAATTATATTGTTACAGTTACATAAAACCATACTTATGAGTAACCAAAGCAGCAATGGAAGAATAATTTAGTGAAAGGGCTTATCCTGTTAACTTTATTATAATAAAGTATTTTAACTCTCTTGAATTGACTAAATACCTTGCTATTTCCCACTGCATTTAAATTTTTTAAAATATTTATTTATTTGAAAGGCAGAGTTACAGAGAGGCAGAGGTAGAGAAAGAGGACTTCCATCTGCCGGTTCAGTCCCCAGATGGCCGCAACGCCAGAGCTGTGCCGATCTGAAGCCAGGACCCAGGTGCTTCTGGGTCTCCCATGCTGGTGCAGGGGCCCAAGGATTTGGGCCATCTTCTGCTTTCCCAGGCCATAGCAGAGAACTGGATCAAAAGTGGAGCATCTGGCTCGAACCGGCACCCATTTGGGATGCCGACACTGCTACCCTCTAAGCCACAGCATGCGCCCCTGCATTTAAATGTAATCACTTCACAATTACTAAACTTATGCTTGGGTTGCCAGCATCTCATTGGAGTGCACAGGTTTTGGACTTCCAATTCCAGCTCCCTGCTAATGCACACCCTGAGAGGCTCAACTGCTTGAGTCCCTTCCACCCACATGAGACCCAGTTTGAGTTCCAGGCTCCTGACTTCAGCGTGGCCCAGCTTTGTCTCTTGTGGGCATTTGGGGAGTGAACCAACAGGTGGAAGATTTCATCTCTCTTCTGCCTTGCGAATAAAATCAAAATAAATAATAAATACAATTTAAACTAGCCTTTGTTAATACGTTTGAGGTGAGCTGCAGGTCTCACTGTTCACTTAGATAGGCTTGTTTAAACCTTGCTTTGCACTTTTTGAATAGGGAGTTTGTATTTTTAATATGCTTCTGACTTAGGTGTAGCTAAATTTTAAGAAGGCACAGTCCAAACAGTCCAGGGATGGCAAGTTTACCCCAGAGGTAGACTAGGAATTAGATCTGTCAAATCAGTCCTGAGAGAATAAGACTGAACCCCTCTAAACAGACTGGATAAAGAAAATTAAAGGAAAAAAAAAACAATACTCAGGTGTGACATAGATTTGTAGACTGGCAATATCACTGATTCAAAGTTGGGTGGATGGAAAGAGAAAATAGTTGATTATGAAAGATTTTGAGTTGTACATATCACAATGGGGTGGCCAGTTAATAAATTAAAATATGTAATCAGAAGCCAAAAATTATTCAAGGCTAACGAATGAGATACATTGAACATTTAACTTGAAACCTATTTAGGTGTTGGGGAAGCAGCTTTCAGATTCACTTAGGAATTCTGATTATTTCAAATGCACACAACCCTTTTTACTTATTTGAGGGGCAGACAGATAGTACATCCCCTGATATATGCCCCAGATTCCTGCAGCTGGGACAAGGTCAGAGCCAAGAGCTGGAAGATAACCTAATTATTTGAGCTATCCTAGCTGCCTCAGGATCGGCTGGAGTCAGAAGCCAGATCCGGGAGCCAAACCCAGGCCCTTGGATGTGCAACAAGCATCTTTAACTAACTGCTAAGCTAATTTCTTATTCTTAAATGTACATTTTAGAAAGTCACGTTGTTTGTGTTTGCACCAGAGACTGTCATGCAGTTTACATTCTCACATTCTTACTTGATTGCACATGTACACATAATTTCAAAAGAAGTGCTAAATCAATTAATTTTCCTTGGTAGTATTTTTTGCTTACATTAGAAATACCAGTAGTAAAATATCTGTAGCAATAAAGTAATTCTTATCTCCATTCTCCATGTAATGTAAACATGCTACCCAGGAGCTCACTTGAGGAAATTTACTTTCACTAAATATATATGGCTTTGTTAATATCAGTCAATAAGTGTGAATACAAATGATTAGTGGGATTTAGTTTGCAAACTCCATTTTATTCCATTTGTATTTTTTAATTAGTTCATAAATTGGTACACATGGGCAGTTAAAAATGGTTATCACTTTGATAATCAGAAGCCTCTGGTATAACATATTCTTCATGAGAACACTGTAAAACAATACACGGCAATAATCTCTTTGAAAACAATGGCTGCAAACATCCATGTTTCTAAGAAAATATAACTTTACATATATATGGATTTTAAGCAAGCTATATCTCTTACATAAATCAGACAGTACAGTATGCAATCATAATGCTTACTTTATGGAAACAAAATGAAAATAATTTTAATTATGACCTAAATGCTTTTAAATAGAGTCCTCTGGGATTGGATGTAAAACAAAGATATTTTCCTAATTTATAACTGACCTGGTCAGAAAAAGCTGCAAAGCTAGTAAATCATTTTGGCCATTACCAAGTGTGTTCAACTCAAGTTCTTTAGATACAAAATGCAGTGTTCCAATTCCAATGAATTTAGAGAACTGAGCAATAAGAGAACAGTCTTCAGTGTTGAAGACTTTTTAAGGAACTGAACTCTAGCTTTTGAGAGTCTTTTATAAACCGCTCCAGTATGGTTCAGAGATTATTTTATGAGCTCTAAACATGCTAGTTCCTAGGTTTTCTCAAGAAAAGAGAACACCAGCAATAGCAGGATGGACCATCCCACTCCCATGTCACTAGGAGACGATAACCGTGAATGAATCAGAAGTGCAACTGAACAGGAAACCTTTCAGAACAGAATGAATCAACAGATTGTTCTGCTCAGAAAGTTCCTCATTTGAGGGCCTCAAATAAGGATCACTAACGCATTTGGTACAAGAGTTACTGGAGTGACCTCATCTTGTAGGGATGTTTAGTTATTACCTCTGGCACATGAGACTAATGAGCTAAAGGGAAAAAACATCTCATATTCTCCCCTGAACTCAATTTCAGCTTTTTAAGGTGGCACGGCACCACTACAGCTCCTTTTCCAAAAGGTAGATGAAAGATAGGTATGGTAGAGGACTTTGAAATATTTTTCTGGTTTAATTTTCTCTGAAAAGGTAAATTACACATAATGGGTAAGACTTTGCTGAAAGAAAAGTGACAAGTAAAAACTGATAGAAATTCAAGATAAACTACTGGAAATACAATAATGAATTTTGGCCTGCTAACCCTCATGCTATATATAACAAACACTAAAATTCATGCAACAAAGAAATTGGTGATGTGAGGACTTTTTCTGCAGATCTCCTGGGAAAAAAAATGTACTATTTTCTCATTTGCCTTCAGAATGAATTATTCTTGCTTTTGGCTGACTTCCCCAAACTCTCCCAGTCATTTCTGACAAAAAAAAAAAAAAAAAAAAAACACTCATTCTTAGTAGGAGAAGACCAGGTAAATTTATATGAAAGACAGCAGGTGTCTTTTGAGCTCCTCTGTCTGCTAGAGGAGCAATCAACTGAATTACATCAAACTCCTTCCACAACTAAAATGGCAGGTAGAATTGGAACAGGAATTGTCATTAATATACTTATAACAAAATAAATCTTGTTCTGAAGCCACAAGGGGTGGTAAGAAGAGACTGTATAAAAGCTACTGGGTTCTCTAGAAAATGGATACAGTATACAATTGAATGTGAGAATATAAACAACTCACACTTGGGTTATAAAAATAGACATGGTTCTCAGACAAAAAACAAATGAGTACAAAAGAATTCTCCAAACATGAATTATTTTTAAAAGACATTTTAAAAGACAACAAGATGTCATCTCAGAGCTCCAAAGAGCAGTCTGTTGAAATGGCTAAAGAGGGGAGATGAACTGGAGACAGACAGGTCAAGAATCCAGAACTTATCTGTCCTGCTCTTTCTGTTTGGCAGTGCACATTGGTAATCACAAATAGACTGTTATGGGTAATATATATAAATAATAATGGCTGATTAGTTGATGGTGCTTGGTGAATGAATGAGAAAACCCAGGTTATTTGTGATCTCTGAAAGTTGAACACTTATAGCTTCTACACTTGACATGAGAAATTATTCTAGGCTTTGTTACCTAGAATCAACCCTGCCATTCACAACTCATGCTCCATGCCCCACGGTTTCTATTGTGCCCTAAAAAAAATCAGCCTAAATACATAATGGAAAATAAATCCAGCCTTGAAGAGGAGGAGCAGACCAGTAATTCATGCTCAGTTTTCATATATAACAAAGAAATACTGAAATTAATGGTCTGTCTCCTTTTAGCTGTAAAGGAGATGCCATGAACTAAAGAAAAGTCATGAGACAAAGTCAAGACGATATGGGTAGCAGCACCTTTCCATACCCGCCTGGATGTTAAGGAGCCATTCACTCCTTATTCCTTTCAAACAACAAAGTTTATCAGTTTGAATAAAAATAAATGGCTCTAAAGTTAAAGAGTCCCTAGAGATAACTAGCAGTACATGAAATATGCCCTGTGTGGGCCAAAAAACAAGCTGCAGAATCAGTTAAGACCAGAAGAGGCAGCCCAAGGTCTTATTTAATTATGGTTGTAGCATAGTGTAGCACAAGATGGGCAGCCCTTTATCCATCAATAAACAATTCAGCACCATCCATACACGGTTCAAAATATTACTGAAGAGTGGGCTTTCATCTTTGGTACCACTTCTTGATTTATTCTTGGTTTGCAATAGCTGCAAAGTAGCAGAAACGCTGGTACCTTTGCCTTGTCTGTGAGTACAAATGCTGGGACTCTGATTGCTGCAACTACTGAGGCCAAATAAAATAATACTGTAACACACAGGAGTGATGTATCCAGTTCTCAGATTCCAGATAATAGCAGCCATGCCCCTACAGGAGCGGGATCATCCATCCCCATTGGTTAAGGCCTTCGGTTTGTTGTCCTCAGAGTAGAACAAAACACTGTGTTCCCACGGACAAGGAACTCCAGATGAACCCACGGTGTAACATTTGGACAGGGATTTTAAGTACCAGATAAACCAGGCACAGAAACAGGACTGGCCTGTTGCCATCACACTTGGAGAAGCTTCTGTTTTGGCCCCACAGACTAGAAACTTCTCAGTGTGTTCTGGTTTCAGTCCCCTTCCTGAGTGAAGCAGCCAGGGAGTAACCAGGTTCCAATCTAGTACTCTGGGTTAATTCTCTCCATGGTCCTCTTCCACCCAGGCTACAATTTTCCCTTCCCATCCAGGAATGGCATCATCATCATGGAAGACCTAGGGAAACAACAGTAAGAAAATACAGAGTAAGGCAGGGAGTCTCACTAAACAACTGTTGCTGGTAAAAAGATCTCAAACAAAGGATAACAGAGTACGGAAAGCCTTGAGTTAGCTTCTAGGTAGATTTGGCTTTGTTTTTGATTTTGATTTTGTTTCAGCTGGTAACTGATATATATCTTTTCCTTAGTTTCACAGCTATAAACCATCCCTAACACTGCTTTGCTCATAGGGATTTATAAGAATTACTAAATTATGGGCCAGCACCATGGTGTAGTGGGCTAAACTTCTGCCTGTGGTGCCAGCATCCCATATGGGCGCCAGTTTGAATCCTGGCTGCTCCTCTTTTTTTTTTTTAATATTTATTTTATTTATTTGAAAGAGTTACAGAGAGAGGCAGACACACAGAGAGAAGTCTTCCATCCGCTGGTTCACTCTCCAAATGGCCGCAATGGCTGGAGCTGAGCTGATTCAAAGCCAGGAACCAGGAGCTTCTTCTGGGTCTCTCACATGGGTGCAGGAGCCCAAGGACCTGGGCCATCCTCTGCTACCTTCCTAGGCACATTAGCAGGGAGCTGGATCAGAAGTGGAGCAGCTAGGACTTGAACTGAGACCCAAATGGGATGCTAATGCCACAGGCTGGGGCTTTAACCCACTGCACCACAGCGCTGGCACCTGCTCTCTGCTATGGCCTGGGAAAGCAGTAGAAGATGGCCCAAAGTCCCAAAGAAGATGGCCCTGCACCCATAGGGGAGACCCAAAAGAAACTCCTGGCTCCTGGCTTCAGATAGGCCCAGCTCTGGCTGTTGCAGCCATTTGGGGAGTGAACCAGCAGATGAAAGATCTCTGTCTCTGTCTGTGCCTCTGCCTCTCTGTAACTCTGCCTTTCAAATAAATAAATCTTAAAAAAAAAAAAAAAAAACTGAGAAGGGGAAATTTTGGTACAAGGCATTGGAAAGAAAGGATTGGAAGGAAGACCAATCTTAACTTTCCTCAGGTGCAGTTCTTTCATTTTCTAAACTACAAATAAAGTAGGGTTATTAAAACAGCTCAGGGAGAAAATCTTTACTAAAAAAAATATAAGGTTTTCCAGCTTTTCTCTTTCTGTAACCACAGGAAACCACTTGCAACCCATAACTCTCCACCAAGGGGAAAAAAAGGTTTTGCCTGGCAAATGGATCATGAAGAGAAGTGTTAGCTAAGAAAATACTCAGCCGGCGCCGCGGCTCACTAGGCTAATCCTCCGCCTAGCGGCGCTGGAACACCGGGTTCTAGTCCCGGTTGGGGCGCCGGATTCTGTCCCGGTTGCCCCTCTTCCAGGCCAGCTCTCTGCTGTGGCCAGGGAGTGCAGTGGAGGATGGCCCAAGTGCTTGGGCCCTGCACCCCATGGGAGACCAGGAAAAAGCACCTGGCTCCTGGCTCCTGCCATCGGATCAGTGCGGTGCGCCGGCCGCAGCGCGCCGGCCGCGGCGGCCATTGGAGGGTGAACCAACGGCAAAGGAAGACCTCTCTCTCTGTCTCTCTCACTGTCCACTCTGCCTGTCAAAAAATAAAAAAA